AAGTCTTTTTTATACACATATTTAGGGTGTGTTTGGTATGAAGGAAAATGTTTTCCTGGAAAACAAGTTGATTTTTGACTTATTTTCTCATGTTTGGTTGGTGAGTAGAAAATATTTTTCGAAAAAGATTTTTAGTGTTTGACTTATGAATGAAAAATATTTTTGAAAAATATCTTTTATTTTAACTAGAGTAGAAAATAATTTTTGAAATCGAAAATATTTTTTAAAAACAAACTTAATTTTTTTTGGGGGTGGGGGCTGGTAGGGGGTGGGTGGGGGGGTGTCGAGGGTTGGGATGAAAAAATAAAACTTTGAAGTTGAAAGTATTTTTTTAAAAACGAACTTAAATTTTTTTTTGGGGTGGGGGGGTGCTGGTAGGGGGTGGGTGGGGTGACGGGGGGTGGGTAGGGGTGGAAAAAATTAAATTTTGAAATTGAAAATATTTTTGAAAAACAAACTTAAAAATTATTTTTTGGGGGTGAAGGGGGGGGCTGGTAGGGGGTGGGTGGGGGGGGGGGGGTCGAGAATTGGGGTGAAAAAATGAATTTTGAAATTGAAAATATTTTTTAAAAACAAACTTAAAATTATTTTTTTGGGGGGGTGGGGAGCTGATGGGGGGTGGGTGTGTGGGGGGTCGAGGGTAGATGTGAAAAAATGAAATTTTGAAATTGAAAATATTTTTTAAAAATAAACTTAATTTTTTTTTTTTTTGGGGGGGGGGTGGTAGGGGTGGGCGAGTGGGGGGGTAGGTAGGAGGTGGGTGCGAGGGTCAAGGGTAGGGTGAAAAAATGAAATTTTGAAGTTGAAAATATTTTTTTAAAAACAAACTTAAATTTTTTTTTGGGGGGCGGGGGTGGGGGGTCGAGGGTATGGTGAAAAAATGAAATTTTGAAGTTGAAAATATTTTTTAAAAACAAATTCAATTTTTTTTTTGGGGGGGGGGGGGGGTACGCGGGAGGGCGGGGAGGGAGGTGGGTAATCGATGATCGGGATGAAAAAATAAAAAATTGAAGTTGAAAATATTTTTTAAAAACAAACTTGAATTTATTTTTTTTGAAGGGAGTTGAAGGGGCTGATAGGGGGCAGATGGGGGCGAGGGTAATGGGTGGGGGTAAAAAAATATTAAATTGAAATTAGAAATATCTTTTAAAAATAATTTTTAATATTTTTTTGGGAGGGGGTGGGGGTAGGGGTGAAGGTGGAGTAAAAAAATTGAATTTAAAAACAAGCTTTAAAATTATTATTTTTTGGGGGGGAGGGGGTGGTTGGGGGGCTGATTTGAGGGTAAGGACAAAATAAATTGATTTTTTCAACCAAAAAAGAATTGTAATTTGAAGTTTGAAAAGAGGTTTGGAAAATGTTTTCCTTAAGGTTTGAAGGGAAGTCATTTTCCTTAAATTTGAGGAAAATGAGTTGTTTTTAAAAACTATTTTCAATTTCAAAAATTATTTTCTATTCTAGTAAAAATAAAAGATATTTCTCAAAAATATTTTTCATTCATAAATCAAACACTAAAAATCTTTTTCGAAAAATATTTTCTACTCACCAACCAAACATGAGAAAATAAGTCAAAAATCAACTTTGTTTTCCAGGAAAACATTTTCCTTCATACCAAACACACCCTTAACCCAACCAAACATGAGAAAATTGAAAAACATTTTCCGAAAAATATTTTCCTTCATACCAAACACACCCTTAATGGCCCATTGTACTAGGCAGTTTTTTTCTTCTTCCTTAAAGACAAATTCAATATACTTTTCATGTTAGTGTGGAGTAATAAAGACATGCACGTAATAAAGATCAAGGATATGTTAAGATAATTGAAAATTTTCATTCATAATTAAAAATATTAGATTCGAATTTCGAAAAAAAAAAGAAAATTTCTTGTATCACATTATAGTGGTCGGTCTACCTCACACAACAAGCAAATCTCTAAAGACTTAGTTACGACTTACAATTAGTTCACGTAAATTCAATAGTAACTTTATATATAGGAAATCTAAATACTAGAAAATATCTATAAATATTTAACTATATGAACCATTTATTGTTATAATATTAATTTGAGATAATTATAGAAATATATAAACTTCAAATACGTTTGTCCGGATTCTAGTGATTTTATTTTTATTATTATTTTTAAAAAATATGCACGTACGCTGCAATTTCTGAAGCTTGGACTAATTGTGATCATGGTCAACCATGGCGACCTAAGGTTTATTTAAATTTCTCTTTTGGAATTCTAAATTCCATACTTTCTTCCTTTTTACAAAATTCCAAAATTGGTTAGTTAATTATCTGTTGAAAGAATCTAAACTTATTAACATTCAACGTAGGAACGGAGCTAAAAAGTTTATCGTCAGAAAATTACACTATATATAAAGTTATATATTATTATTTTCTTGCTATGTATGTCTATTAGATGTCAAACTGGTGATATTCGTCGGAGTTGATCTTTCAGACAATCATCTATCAACGAATAATTTTTATCTCAAAAAATCACTTATACATTTATTTTATAACATAAAAATACTTCACTAAAAATAATTATCTCACAAAGTACGTAAATCAACTTTGCTATGTAATATAAAAATCACCTCGTTATTGTTATTTGAACAAAAAAACTACTCAATCGATTCAGCCGATAATTCCAATAGATATTGCTGATGTGAAAAAAAAATAAATTAAGCAATATTTTTAAAATATAAAAAAAAGTGATTCGTCCCGGTAAAATAAAAAGTGGGTCAATTTAGTGGTTAATTAAAATAAATAACTTTTTATATTTTAAAAAAAAATGTCTTAAGAAAACTTCCACGTCATCAATAAAAATATAACTTGAATTGGATAAGTTACTTTATAAATAAAATAACAATACTTGAGTATTTTTTTTAAAATAAAATAAAGTCAAGTGATTTTATTAGATAAAAATTATTAGTTGAGTGTCAGTCTAAGAACTTAACTCAAATTCGATATTGCTCACATGACTGAACTAAAATGAGATATAACCAAACTTTTTTATAGTAATGGTATTTGATTAGATATATTTAGCAGATATAACAAATTACACGTTATAGATCAGAAAACATATATTAGTAATATGATATAAAAAATCATTTTTATTTTTTAATCTTTATATTAAAATTTTATGATAGAGAATGACATAGAGAGGGCGGTTATAAAATAACATAAGTATTCAATTGATCAAAACCTTAAACCAATATATAAAATAATTCAATTTTGTTAACATGTCTTTGATAGATGTTATTATAATGTTCCCAATGACGTGCAACAAAATCATATATACATCATAGATTTGCTTGCGTAATTAACTTTTTTTATCTCCCACAATTATATCTTATTTTTTCTAATTGACTTTTTTTTATACATAAAAAATGAATTTGCCTGCAGATTTCTCTAATTATGGGACTAACTAATTTACTTGAAAATGAAAATTGAGGGAAATTATATGGTAGCGGGTAAGCTATACTAACAATTACATCACAATGTATATATATACAAAATTATATCACCTGTCTACCTAATTATTATTTTTAAAAATGTTATAGGTCAACTGTTTATTTTTATATATATATATATATATATATATATATATATATTGTTTAAGAAAATAATTAACAGGTTAATTGAAATAATTTTAACTTAGCGGCGGAGGGCAATAACTAGTTTGATTGATAATATCAACTAAAAGAATAATTAGACTTGTCACGTTTGCTTATAAATTTTCAACTCCATCTTTATAAATTTGAAATAAAATGTTATTTTTTCTTCTTTACAAAAAGTATAACCAAACATAATTATATTTTTAAAAAACATAAAAACAAGGATTTTTATTTTGAAGTTTTGGCCAAACGCCTACTTTATGATGGAGAGAATTCCAGAAAAATATTCTTTATGAAATATTCTCTATTATTCAAAGCCTATCATTTGCTGAATTAGTTGAAATATTTAATTATATATATGACATTGCGATTAATGGAAAAATAAAACAAAATGTTAGTTGGAGTAGGTCAAGACAAAACATTTCATAAAAGAGTTGAAGTATTAAAAAATCTTGTTCACAATTTTAAAAAATCACTTTTTTTTGGAAAATATAATTTTAGGAAATTGTTTGAATATAAAAATGTTAAATAATTTTTCTTCATAAATTTCACTCCAAACCACTCACGAAAATTATGACACAACTTCAATTTTTAAATATCATTTTCAACTTGAAAATATAGGTCTACTTAATTTCAAATTTCACCTTTTTTATGTCTAATCGCCTACTTAATCAAAGTTCTTGAATTTAATCTCTGCTAAATACTAAGTTGCGTTTGTATCTAGTGTGTATCTAATGTGATTCACATGTATTTGGGGATACAAGACTGTCTCCCTCTCACACTCGCTCACCTCCCCATTTTGCTTGCTTCTCTTCCCATTTTAGTGTATCTGATAGCAAAAGTACATATAGCTAGATGTATAATTCTCAATATATGATAGAAAACTCTTAATTGATTGTAAGATACATAATTATTTAAAAATATAGATAGAGTTAGTATATATAGTATGAATTTCTAATATTTTATCCTTAATATAAAACTTTCCGAAAATAAGAGAAATTGCTCAGATAATAAACATACCCCACCTCTAATCTTAAGATTGCAGATTTGAGTCATGAAAAAAATGAATGAATCGAAACTCCAAGGAAGTGGCAAACAAAGAACTAAGAGAAACAAATTTGCCGACACATCATAAAAAATTTAATCGAACCTCAATATAAATAGCAGGACCAGATGAAAAATCAACACAAAAATGTGTTGAAAGTCTTGTCTAGAGTCAAAATATATGGGCATGGCTTCAAGTATATAAACAAAATTTAAAACTTTCCATGAAAACCTCCCCTTTGCCTTTCCCCTACTCCTAATTCTTCTTGCTTTTTCACATTATTCCCACTAATTTTTTTAAAAAATATTTCTGCATAAAAACCAAAATTGAAGAACCCAATTTCAAGAATCATGAAGTTTTCTTTTTCATTTCTCTCATGTTTTAGCTCATCAGCAGATAATTTGGAAGGCAGCCAAACCACATATGGTAAATTTCTCAAAACCCCTTTTTGCTTCTTACTTAAAAATCTCATCTTTTTTATATATTTCTTAAGAGTATCAATTCTAAAAACAGGTGGACAAATTTCCCAGAATTTTTCAGTTTACTGTTACAATGACTTGAAAGCTGCAACTCATGGATTCAGAGCTTCAAATAAAATTGGAGAAGGAGGTTTTGGTTCTGTTTACAAGGTGAAAAAAAAAATTCTTTTATTTTCAGTTGGCTTTGAAGAAAATGGAAAAAAGGGGATGTGGGTTTTTTTCTTTTTTTCTTTTTTCTGTTTTGTGAATTGACTGTTTTTATGTTTTATTTGGGGCTTTTCTTGAAAAGGGTCGGCTTCAAGATGGAACCTTTATGGCTGTAAAAGTTCTTTCAGTTGAATTGGAATCAATGAGAGGGGAAAGGGAATTTGTATCAGAAATAGCTGCATTGTCTGATATCAAACATGAAAACCTTGTCAACCTCAGAGGATGTTGTGTTGATGGAGCACATAGACTTTTAGTCTATGATTACATGGAAAACAACAGTCTTTCCTTAACATTTTTAGGTAATTTCCTTGTTTTAATTGTCCTTGTTTTAACTGATCCCCGACTTGTTTGGGATTGAGGCGCAGTTGTTGTTGTTTGCAGTTGTTTTAGCCTACCCCCGACTTGTTTGGGACTGAGGTGTAGTTGTTGTTCTTTGCACTTGTTTTAGCCGATCCCGACTTGTTTGGGTTTGAGGTGTAGTTGTTGTTGTTTGCACTTGTTTTAGCCGACCCCAACTTGTGTGGGTTTGAGGCGTAGTTTTTAGCCGACCCTGACTTGTTTGGGATTGAGGCATGGTTGTTCTTTGCACTTGTTTTAGGACTTGATTGGGACTGAGACATAGTTGTTGTTTCACTTTTGTATGTTAGTTGAGGCTGTGTCTGATTGTTTGTTTTGACTAGCAGGTGGGGAGCAAAACAGAAGTAAATTTACATGGACACTTAGGAAAGAAGTTTCAATAGGAATAGCAAAGGGACTTTCATATCTCCATGAAGAAGTGAGTCCACATGTTGTGCATAGAGATATTAAAACCAGCAACATACTCCTTGATGAGAATTTTACACCAAAAATTGCAGATTTCGGTTTGGCTAGGCTGTTTACGGAGAACATGTCCCATATTAGTACCCGAGTAGCCGGAACATTGTAAGTTACATCATTTAGATGTTCATTTGGAATTTTGAAAGACTCATGTTTGTGAACTCCACTAGTCTTTGTTGCTGATCCTGTTGTGAATTTCTTGAACTCATCTTATGCCTAAAGAGGCTATCTTTCTCCAGAATACGCCATCAGTGGACACTTAACACGCAAGTCAGACGTTTATAGCTTTGGAGTCGTGTTACTAGAAATAGTCAGCGGTTCACCAGTAGTTGCATTCGACATTACTCGAGGAGAGCATTTCCTTGTTAACAAGGTACATTTATTACTTTTGACTTGTGTGTAGTCTACGATTAGTTTCAAACAAGACTACATATATAGATGCTTATATGAAATTTATCGCTATTCGATGAAAATATGTACTATTATTATTACCATTATCAATGACTTGTAACAGTCTATAAACCAAACAAGTGGGAACCATGATTTTGACTCTTAATATAATGATAGTATTAGTTTGTTGGCTTGATATGACATGAAAGTTGTCAACTTGTGTTGTGTTTTTAGGCATGGGAAATGTACAATGCTGACCAACTGTTAGAGCTAGTGGACCCTGTTTTGGATAGAGAACTTTTGAACGATGACGAAGCTCTCCGATTCTTGAAGGTTGGCCTCCTCTGCGTGCAAGAGAACGCCAGCCTCCGCCCCAAAATGTCCATGGTCATCAAGATGTTGAGCCGTGATGGCACGATAATAGTAGACGAAATGAAGATTACTCAGCCTGGGATTGTTGCTGATCTAATGGATGTTAAGATAGGCAGAAAACACTCTTCTCAAAGCTTTTTTTCTAAAGCTTCTACAAGCATGAGCCCAGGAAGCCCCTTCCAAATAGTTAAACAGGAGAAAAAACAATAGCTAGAAATTAGTCGAGGTACGCACAAGCTGGTTCAGACACCACGATTATAAAAAAAATAGAATGTACTTGTACAAAGAGTATATTGTGCACACACATAGATACACTTGCACTAAGTTTGCTCACTTTTTTTTTATTGTTAGATCAGTTGTATATCAATGTGAGCAGCTAGGTCTTTAATTTTTTCAATTTTTTTTGGAATATTTGGTTCCATTTGATGTAAAAGCTACCTTTAATAACATTTTTTTTAGTTTTTCAATAATTGAGTAGGTATATTGAGCATTTTCATATCATTAGAAGGGATCAACAACTATTATCAAGTAGTATATAAAATAACAAAATCATAAGGCATTATTAGAGTGACATCTATTAATAAAAAAGTGTATCTGCACTCAATATTTACATCAAAACATATTAATTTACCATGTTTAAATCAAGAAAGCTACCATAAAGAAGTGAGGATAGATATACAATTATTGCTGATTGTGAAAGGGACATTAATCTATTAACCACTAATTAATTATTGATATGGTTGACAAATGATTCATTATTAGTGTTATGATATGGATTTTCAGATGAAAAAGACACCCTGAAAATATAAAAAAGTAGTAAGGGAACTTATTAGGGGCTTGTGGCTGCTAACACCAAAGAGTTGACATAGTGTAGATGCTATGGTAGATATCGAATTATTATATCAAAATTTTGATATTATGATATACTTGGTATGTATTTTAAAAGAAAATTGAAATTCAATATGATATAATGTTTATTAAAAAGAATACATCAAAATATCGAATATCATATCAAATATATAATACATATATAATTCATATATATTATTATAATAATAACAAAATTATAAATTAGTATTAATATAATATTAATTATTTAGATGTTGAAACTTTGACTATTCTATCTTGATTGAATGTATATTTTATGTAATTGATTAACAAAGGAAATTGTTTGTACTCTCTTTTGAATATTTCTACATATTTAAGGTGTTAATATGATATAATTGAGACGTTTCTTGAAAAATCGAAGTTGTAATTATCTTTTATGTAATTTTATATAACTCGAAATGAAATTAATTGTAATTACCGATTCACCATATCAATATTAATTAAACTAATCAATCAAATTGGTATGTCAATAATATAGTAATTTTAAAAATCAAACATTGAAATTATCGAATCAAATTTTTTAATATTATACCATATCCATTTGAACGCCCCTAAATTCTTTCCCCAATTCTTCCCATTCTACCAACGAATTCTCTATAATAGGAGTAATTCGTAAATTTACATCGATTAATTATTCTCGAATATTTATACCAAATCAAATAATTTCATGATGAATATGGTTGTATGTACATTTTACTGTTGTCTGTTATCATTAGACCATAATTCATTACTACACATTCTCATATGGGACAAGATTTTGGTATCAATAGATTGTTTGTCAAAGATATTGTTTTTTATTTATTTATATATAATTATTGTATTTGTATTCAGATCAATTCAAGAGGTTTTAGTGAAAGGGGGGCAAACTTTTTTATTATTAAAGACAGAAAAAGAAAAAAAAAAGACAACACAACTGAAAAACAGGTCATTTTGTTCTTATTCACCGACACTCTTGTTCAGACTTTGATCATGTTTGGCATTGATGCTAAAAATGGTTTTTTTTAGAAAAATATTTTTAAAAATAATAATTTGTGTTTAGCTAATTCATTTGAAATTTGTTTTTCATAAACAAATAACGTTTGACTAATTTTTTTCAAATGTGCTTTTAAGAGTCAAATTACAAGAAAGGACAACTATTAATATACTTTTAATATTAAAATTATTTTATAGAGAGAAACTATTTTAAATATCTATTTAAAAAATCAATTAAATTTTATTTATTTTTAAATTAAAATGTGTTCTATTCTAGTAAGAAGTGGTTTTCCTTTTTAAGCCTTACGCGATACTTAGATATAAAAAAAAAGATATACATATCATGTGGGAAAAAAGAAGAAGCAAGGTTACATAGAATGATCACATCTTTAACTAATTTAGGAACATAATTACAATTGAAGTGTTAGAGATGTAAGTGATTAGTGACCTAAGTAATGGGCAAACATAATAATCACAATTAACATAAAATTTAGAATTAACCTCAATTTTTGGGGTCAATTTTTTTTTCTTTTTTAAATCTAGTGCCAAAGATAAAAATTTTTTCTTTTGTCACTCTTATATTATCCTTCATTCATCCCTTATTTCATAAATAATAATATAGTCTCCTTGTCCAACAATTTTTATTGATCATTTTCAACCAACCCCACCTTCAACCACTCACACAATTTATTTATTTATTTTGGAAAATATATTATTAACTCCAAGAGGGATTGACCCAAAGTGGAAAATGTGATGGCATGAAATTATAGAAATATAAGTGCTACAACCCCCCAATTCCAACTTTTTTGTTTTAATAATCAACCAATCAATTAGTCTTATGTGAATTTTATATATCCAAGCCACACTTGGTTTTAAAAAAGAAATATTGATACCCCATTTGAGTTTTCATTTAATGTTGATCATAATTTTGTTTAGCTTAACAAGGAACACTATTAACTACACCAAGTAAATCACATTTTAAATGTTTTTATAAAGTTACATAACATTTACTTGTGAAATTATTTCTTAGTTGAAATGGACACCACGTGATATCCACCTCATTAAAATATCAGCGCATTAAAATATTAGGTGTCCACCCTAAACAACCGTAACAAATGAAGTGTATATTCAAACTAAACCCGACTCTACGAACCCGAGGAAAGGCTGCATAGATAACAACAAAAGTATTTTAACATAAATTATGTAACAGTTGGTAAGATCGATTCTTTTCATATAATAGAGGGCAAATCTGACCCTTTTTCCTTTTATTATTACTAAAAAAATTTAATAAGCCATGAGTTTTGAATAATTAATGTCAAAAGAGGAGTCACCAAAATTAGACAACCAGTCTAGAATCAAAACTTTGTCCTTAGTGTGACATTAATGGAAGTTTGGTCAATTGACCAAGTACCAACAAAATTACACCATCTATGAGACCATGACTGCTTTAAGAAAAAAGACTTTGGATTTGGATTTAGACTTGGCCTTCATTAAAGTTTATGACTTTCTATAACAATAATCATATTCACAATCAAATATCTATAGTATTGAGTGGATTTCTTAACATTTATACAAGATTTAGGAGAAAATTATACAGTTTACCTGAACTTATAAACCAAATAGTAGTAAATTCACCCTTGATATGTTGAATATTTCAAATATACAAGATTGAGTGTAAGCAGATCTTACCTTTACCTTCGTGGGAGTAGAGAAACTGTTTCCGAGAATAGTTTTAATATAGTACTAATATATGTTACTTTCAAGAAGGAAGATAGAATTCACTATTGACCATGGTTACATGTTTTCTCCAATTTTTCTTTGCTAAGAACTGGTCATGCTAGCCCATATCTTTCTCTTTTAGAACAATTCTAGTTCTAGGCTTCTAGCAATCATTTCAAACTAAAAATTAGTGGAGGAAGAAAAAGTCTTCCAATTAGCCACTGTATAAAAATTGGACCAAAATTGTCCAATTTTGCAAACTTGAGGAATATTTTATATTCAGTAGGTAGTATAGATAAAAGTTTTTTTAAAAAAAAATCATACATCCATTACTTAAAGGACTATCTTGGTTTTTCCTGTATAGACTAGAAAAAACAAATAGAAACTAAGCTAGCTTGGGAGTAGATTTTGAAAAATTTATCTTCAAATATCAGTTTGACTATAAAATTTGATCTTTCAAATATTTTCAAGTTCCCAGACCAATTTTTGTGACTTACACGCACAAAACTTCAAGTAAAATGCATGTCCACACATAACTTCAGATTCCGAAAATCACAACTTCAAAAACTTAAATTTTCAAGTTTCAAATGTCAAACTTCAAAATTTATGCCCAAACAGGAGTTAAATATCAGTAAAGCCTTAAAAGCATCATAATTTCTAGGCCTAAACTCACTTACTAACTGAATTGTGACAATAGACTAACACTGCTTTATCAAGATCTTGTGCACGGGACTAGAAAAGAAAAGCGAATCCAGAATATGGGTAGAGAAACTGTCTTAGATAGACCCTCGACTCATACTAAAAGAAGATTATGCAAGTTAAAAAAAAGGAATAACTTGTCTATGAAAATTTCAAGTAAATAAACAACTCTAGAAATGCTTGACATGAAACTCTATACATGCTTGGCTCCTAGAATGCCATCTGAAAAGGCCACCAATTCTAGGTGGAACAATGCAAATGGCATACAAGGAGCCAGGCATGTTATGTTATCGATCACGAAAACAAGAAAACTTACCTTGCTGGAATTCCAGACTCTTTTAAGATTGAAATGAAACAACTTGTCTTGATTTCCTCTAATAGCCAAGACTCTGCTGAAACTACTACAAAATGTTGTAGTTGAAGTGACCCCTGCAACAGAATTTATAGGAAAAAGAAAAGGAAGACGCGACAAATAACTAAAAAAATGAAAATAACAAAGTGTAAATGATTTTGAATTTGAAACCGCTAACTCGAAAAAAAGAACTCCTGGTTTTCTTACTTTTCTTTTCTTTTCCCCCTTCATGTTGAAGTCCTAATCTTTTTACAACTTGTTTGGATGGTTGTTACATATCGTTTCATAACTTATGTTTTGTACCGTTGTATTGTTTTGATGTATATATCACTTGGATAGATTGTATTGTTTCTCTTCGTTTCACAATGTCTCACATCAACCATATCTGAAGAATAAGCTTACAGTATTACAAAGAAAAAGTAGGGCATGGGGTAGAGTTACTAACAAAAAGGGTAGGCAAAAGGATAAAATAGGATTAGTACATAATAAGTGCAACAAATGAAAAAAATAAGGTAACAGCACGATGATCACACAAAATGAGTTGCAACATAACATGACACTTTCCATCGTTACGTAATAACGGATTTGACAATACGATATAATAAAGTTTAAGTAATAATCAAAACAAAAATATGATACTATACAATAGGCAATGACAATCCAATCAAGCGGTTAGTGGGGTTTCTACTCTTAAGAACAATAACAAAATACTCAGTATAGTCTCACAAAGTGGGGTCTGGAGAGGATAGAGTGTACATGACCTTACCCCTATGCTCAGAGGTAGAGAGGCAGTTTCCGATAGACCCTCAGCTCACAGGGTTTATGTTCTTAAGAAGCTGTCGACAAAAGCAGTTATCAACAGTCAAAAGCTAAAGGGCCATATGTTTGTTTCTTGTACCGTCCATATTTTCCAGCATTATAAAGCAAGTCTTTTACATTCTTTTCTCCAACTGTTTTGTTTTGGAAGTATTTGAATGAGAGGTGACTTGTTTAACAGTATCTCAGAATTTCAGGTAGAAAGAATCAACTTTTTCTTTCCTTCATTTCACTTCTGTCGATTCCTTCATGATCTCAACCTTTCGGCCACAAAAAAAGGGAAAGAAACATCGTCCAGTATGATTTAACAGCTTTCCATTTTTGTCCGAAAACATAAAGGAAAAACGAGGAAAAGCATACTAGTTTTTATGTACTTTTCTTGATACTACTTCTAACAGCTTCAACAGAGTTAACAACTAACTTGACTTCAGTTCTACACAAGAAAAAGCTTCTTCATTTATCTTTCCCACAACCCACAGGAACAAAATTATGACTTGATTAGTTTTTGTCCCTCGATTTCTGTTACTACCAACTGTTTCTTGTGCTTTGGTTTCACATTATTTTGAAGTTGTTGTTCCTTTTTCATGAATGCTATGTAATGCTTCCTCTAGTATTTGTTATGTCTTCTTTACTTCTGTATGTTCTTGGATATGCGTTACCTGAGTTAGGAGTCTTTCAGAAACAACCTCTCTATCTCCAAGAGGTAGGGGTAAGGTATGCATACACTCTAGTCTCGCCACAACCCCAATTGTGGGATTACATTTGGTATGCTCTTGTTGTTTGAGTAGGAAAAGCAAAGGTCCAACTATAGGACATGACACTTTTTGATAACTAATTCCATAAAGCTATAGATATTGAATATTCTTATGAAAAAGACCATTCAATTGTAGCTTTATGAAATCACTTTCAATATAAAAAAAAGTGTTGTGATCCTAGTTGAGCCTTTGCTTTTCCTACTCATCCAATAACAACAAACTGACCAGTACAATTAAAGGTGCTTGATGAACTTCTGTTTGTCTTTTAGGTCATAGCTCTCATTAACAGATCCAGATCAAATCAAAGATCTATCCACTAGTAACTTCGAAGAATAAAATGTTCAGGTGGTGCACGAATATCTAGCGTTCACGCAGGGAAGGGCCACCCCCTAAGGGTCCGTATTGTAGGCAGCTTACCTTGACGCAAACATATGTGGCTGATTCCACCACTAGCACATGTAGCCTATACTTTACCGTTGCTCCAAGGCTCCCCTTCAAGTAACTTTGAAGAATACTATCACAAATTAATTACGTAATTAGTATCTAGGATATAAACATTAATCGGCTACAATGTCAGCAAAGCTCAATGCAGGAAATTAAAGAGGCAGTTCTCTGATAATATTAGCTGGAGAACAAGCTGGAAAGAGTATACATTTAGAAGTTAGATTTTTCCCTCAGCATCTATTCCTATTCATTCAGTTAACATGTTAAAAAAGAGCAGCCCGGTGCACTGCTCCCTCTATGCACAGGTCCAGAAAAGAACGAATCACAAGGTCTATTGTACACAGTCTTACCCTGCATTTCTACAAGAGATTGTTTATACGGCTCGAACCCGTGACCTCCTGGTTACACTGCAACAACTTTACCTTGCTAATAGTCTTTTAGCATCTCAGTGAGGCAAATAAGAACAGTCCGGATCCAAGACTAAATTTGATAACACAATAAACTCTGCTATATACCATATTTATATAACACAACCAGGTAAAATGTGGTTGTATCTTGAATCTATGCCCAAAACTATGAAGTGAAGACACACCACTCATTTTTGAGTGAATTCTATGGATAAAGCCCCCTGGAAGATAACATCTCTATACATTAAACAGCAAAAAGTATCATTCTTTGGGCCTTGTTAAAACTTACCACATCGAGAATATCTTAATGTAGATCCTACAAGATATTCTATATCAGTCCATCAAGCTAACAATATTGTAACAGGAGAAAGGTCACATGGGATTCAAAGACTGGCAAGGAAATTCATCGATAGTGTTCTGTGTTGAGCAGGCTCTCTCAAGGGATTCACCAACGCCTCAGTTTACATCAGTTCGTGATTTCAAATCTCACAATCTCACCAAACTAGGTATGAGACCAATATTTTTATACGAAACACGGATAAATATATGTTGACTTTCAAACCATTAAAATTTTAACAAATATGGAGAATTTCTGAACCCATAATTTCATAAGTATACTAAGTTAACAGCTAAGAACCTTAGAGGTTAATCCCGTCAAGTCTAACTTCTAGATTCAACTTTGAATGACGATACTGTATTTTCATTTGGCAATAAGCGCCACAACATCCAACTGAGAATAGTAACTGAAATAACAGATTTTTTTTGCAAAAATCAGTCACTTCAAGTGAATTATTATCGTCTAAGCATGGGGTAAATAGGAATTTGAGAGACCAGAATTCCTAGTTTATCTGCCAACCAACAGAGCAGGTACACCACACCAAATTATCATCTCCTCCCATCTACTCAGTGAACAAAGAAGACTTTCATTATCCAGAAATGTGGGAAAACGCTTCATTACATCGATATTAAATGAAAGATAATTTGGTGCAGCATCACATGTTTCATTGCTTTAAGAAAAAGTTGAAAATTTATTGTTGACATTTGTCCAAGAATGTGGCAAATAAAAAATATAAGCACAAAATTTACAAGCAGCTCATAGAAATGTACAATTGCAGAAGAGCGTCGTTACTCACCAATATGCTATCCTCTGATTTTGTTTTCTGAAAAATTTCAATCCACCAAAAACTTAATATAAAACTCCGACATAAAGGCTATGATATCATTACATCCTTCACTAGCTGCTCTAACAGAAGTGCCAACTGTGACATATCAAGGCGCTCAGCAGGATTTTCCCGCAACGCCTGCTCTGCAATTTCAGCAAGTTTAAGCAGAGGTTCGACATTTCTTGGAAGAGCAACGTAACGATCTATGATAACAGCTGCTTTCCCTTGTCTGATCAGAGGCAGTGCCCAGTCAACGATACTCGGAGGTGTGCAATCCCTGTCATAAGCTTTTCTTCCACTAAGAATCTCAAGCAGCACGATCCCAAAGCTATAGACATCCATATGCACGTCTCCATTAAGATCCTTCTCGTTAGGCGTAAGCAGTCCAAAATCTGCAATCCGAGCTCCCCAATCAGCATCCAAGAGAATGTTTGAACTCTTCACATCACGGTGCACGATAGGAGGAGAAACCTCCTTGTGAAGGTACTCGATCCCCTTTGCAGCCTGCATTGCGATCTTCAGCCTAAGATTCCAGCTCACCGGAGAAAGACCCCCATGGAGGTGGTCATTAAGTGTTCCATGAGGCATGAGTTCGTAAACAAGAATCCTTTCCCCCATTTCTGCACAATAACCTAATAAATTAACTATATTGCTGTGACGAACACTGCAGAGGATCTCTAGCTCCATTTCAAACTCCCGGCTGTTGGTGTGTATTATCGTAGCAGCATTGGCCCTCTTTACTGCTACTTGCCTCCCATCCGGCAGAACAGCTTTATAAACAAATCCGTAACTTCCCCTGCCAAGCTCGTTGAACTCCTTGAACCCATTAGTGGCGTCTTTCAGCTCTGAAAGCCGGAAAACCTGAGCTTCCCCTGGACACGGAGCCACGGACACAGGAGGATGAAGGTCAGTATTAGCATCAGTTTCCTTCTCAGGCTTGCGAATACAAGAGGCGAATTGGTTCTTTCCTCCTTCTTTACTTTTGCTGGATATCATGCGGATTAACAAACATAATCCAGCTAAGCAGAACAAGAAACCAAAAGCAGAAGACCCGACTATGATGATCAGTTGACGCATTTGATGCTGATGCTGTTGCTTCAACTCTGCCGATATTTGGAGCTTACAAACATCAGAACAAGAGGTATTCTGGCAGAGAGAGCAAGTAGTACAAACCCTGTCAGCATTTTCAGTACAAGAACTAGAGGGGAAGAATCCTTCAGAACAGTTCACCCCACAAGGTGAACAAATCTTAAGATCTTTCCTAACACACAAATTTATCAAATCTGCCTCATTTATAAGGCTCGCATTGAACGAAAATTTCCCTTCCCCGCAAGAACCAGGAGTACACAATCCTGGACTACACAGCTGCAGTGGTGGATCATAGTCTACTTGTGAGGAAATATTCGTATACCAGCAATCAAGAACCAAATCGCCTTCCCTAATACCACAAGTTATAAAATCAGATGAAGCAATAGCAAGAAAGCCTGATCCTTTAGGAATCAGAGATGAATTATAGTTTCCCCAACACATAATCCCATGATTATCTTGTCTAATCCCACAAAAATGCTCTACACCAGCTGCCAATGACACGAATGGTACCCCAACCGGAGGGATACCAAATGAGACATTAGACCCCCAACATTTGACTTCACTTGACTCTTCTAAAACCCCACAAACAGAGTCAATCCCTGCAGTTAAAGCATGAATATTCTCCGATAAACCCGATATACCAATGCCACTAGAATTTGGACCCCAACAAAGAACCCCTCCATCCTTAACACCCCCACAACTAAACCCATCTCCAGAAACTATCTTCTTAAAAACATATGAACTAGTATACTGATTATAAAACAACGAACTCTCCCTCGATTCAAAAGTACCATTGGATTTTCGAATAATATCCCAACAATCAATACTACCCCAATCACTCTCAGAATAATAAGATCCCCTAATAGCACACACATGATTCCTACCAGCAGCAATATGAGAATAAGCATTAGGTTTATAAACATTAGGAACAAGATCAGACCTTGATCCCATTGAGTCAAAACAAAATGCCTGCGAAGTGTTTGATAAAATGCCACAAAGAAAACCATCACCACCAGATAAAGCAGCCATGGAGGGAACATCAGTGGGGTAGTTTAGTACATCAGGAAGTGAAGGATTATTAGTTTTATTACCCCAACAAATAACATCTTGTTTGCCACTCGCATCAATAGCACAAAAGAAACCATTTTTACCAAAAGCAGCTGAAATGGGTCCCATAGAACCAAATCCAGATGCAGATTTAAGGAAGATGAAGCAAAGAAGATGGAAAAATGTAATCTTGATGAAAAGGGTGTTCATTATTTTGAGCAGAAAAGTGTAAAGTCATGGAGCAATGAGAAAAAATGAAATCTTGATCAAGATTGGAGTGTTGTTTTTTGGGAGTATAGAGATGTACTGATTCAGCTGAAGATGATGAAACAACGTGGCTGTCGCCATTTTTACACAGTTTTCTTCTTGGACCGTTAACAAAATCCATGTACTTATTTTAAGTTAGTTACTGCTCACTGTTAAAACTTCAAAATACAGTTTGCCACTATAATAGGATATATCCCTCTATATTTCGAGTTTGAGTTTTGGGTATAATTTTTTTTTTAATAGAAAGTGTTTTATTCAGAATGAAGCCTTAAGCAGCGTGAAAAAGAATTTCGCTATGTGTGGTAGAGAGATAAGTGGTTAATTACTCCTTTGTTGTTAGTTAGAACTTAGAAGTCTCAGATTTGAATTCTGGAAATGAAGTTATTTTTAATAATATGTTTTGATCTATTTTTGTTATGGGTTTTATAGTATTTTGTTATAGATTTTTTACTTCGTCATTACTTATTCAGTTATTCGATCTGCTTTAAATTTCTTTTTTCTTGAAGCAAAGGTGTATTAAAAACAGTTTCTTTATGTGTCAAAGTAATGGTAATGTATGTGTATAATCTATTCTTTTTTGATACTACTCGTAAAATTATACGAAATATGTTATTGTTGAATGTTATATAGTGAAAGTTTGTAACACGAATCTATATTAGTATTCTTTCATCCTTAGTCAAATATCTCAAATTTGAGTGATATTTATGTAGTCGCGTTTGATAAAGAACAATTTATTCCATAATGAGATTTTCGAATATTTGGAACCCACGATTCTTAATCATTCAATATTTGATATGTCACTATGCATTGACGTTGTCCTTGACATGTCATTAGGCATTAATCATAATTATTCAATATTTGAAACTCATTGTCTGAATAATTTAATTATTCAAAAATTACACCTAAATAAAGTTTTTGTATTGATAAACCTATTTGGTTCACCTTTTACAGTTTCTCCATGCAAAACAATAACTAAAAATATTTGAAAAATAATCTAATAACTCCTTATGCTTTGAAATTAACTTATTATATTTTTTTTAAAATTAATTTGTCTCATGGTGGAATGCATAATGTATATTTCATAATGCCTATTTGATAAGACATAAATTTGCAAGTTGTTAATTGAATTATTTTTCCTAAGGAAATGGTGGTGGTCATTTTTGTTTCTTTCTCATTCTTTTTTTTTTTGGAAGGATAAGTCTAATATTTTGTGCACTACTAAAGTAGAACTCCAAAATAGTACATTTTAAAGATGTAATTGGCCTAACTATTCATAAAGCAATATTTATGTCACATCTTGTGAGTAAAAATATTTTTGCTTTTTATTGGATAAAAAATATTTTCTTGAAATCATTTCATTTGATCAAGGATAAAATTCATATAATTATCTTTAAAAACATCTGATTAAATCGTATAAATATTAATAGTGCATAAAACGAGATCAAAATTTTGATCATCAAATGAAACCATGTGAATAACTTATCCTCCTCAAATAAATGAAGAAAATACAAAACAATAATAGTTATTTATATAATTTTATATGACTTCTCTTAAATCTCCGATGAAAACCCTACAAAGTCAAGTTTTGAGCAATGAGGCGATCCACTTTCAAAATACCTTGATGATAAAATGGTAAATACGTCAGATTGATTATTAAATAGAACAAAGTAAAAAAAAAAAGAATGCTTAGGGAATAAAAGAAAATATAAATACAAATCTATTTTTTTATATATAAATTTAAATTAATTAATTTAGTAAATTTTAAATATTAAATAATTAAATTGAAAAAGATGCAAGTGCATTGGATAATCATTATGGAAAAAAAGAAGAAAAGTTTATTTGTGCAAAAGTCTTCTCATTAAGATGAAAGAATGATTAATGATGCAATCTGTATAGTATGATATAAATTAAATGAGGAATAATCACAAAATTATTTAAAGTAATTATGGATAGAGAAGAGGGCCCCAAGTGCCTCCATGTACCAACTAACATAAAACATACCTAACTATAATTTGCTGTACATTTTATCCAAAATTATGGACCTAACAAAATAAATTGTATCAAAAAACAGTTCATCAATTTTTTTTTATATTTTTCATCTGGTGTCTAGTTCTTACATTGGAGTATGATTAATTTGGATTTGTATTACATAGACTCTATTCGAAAGAAATAACGCTCCCTATCAAATGTTTTTTCATAATTAAGACTTCAATTCGAAATATCTGATTAAGGGAGGAATAACATCATCTACTGAGTCTGCACTACAACCTTCTGTCATTGTTCATCACATTTGCAAGAAACATATCAAATAAAAAATCTTATTATGTTTTTGTTTGACCAAAATTGTTGAGATCTTTCATTGGCAATGCACATGCCATTTTTTCTTCACCTTTATATATGTTATTAATTTGATTTGGAAAGGGGATTTGTCACTACTTCACTTGTCTTTATTCTCTCATATTTAGATTAATTTCACATAAAAACAAACTTAGTATAAATTGCATGAATGTCATAATTCATGACATTAATGAGTGTAACAAAATTGATATTACAACTGTTTCTATATCTACATTTAGTAGAAAATAAAAATAGTCAAAGATTTGAATAATTAACTACAAATATAATAACTAATTAAGCTTCCACACAATTAAAAATTGCCAAGTTATCTATTTTAAGATCTGAACTATTAAGAAACCTAAAAAAAAACAGATAGACTTGATGAACAAGGCCTAAAAACAAACATTAGTTTTTTTTCTAAAATTAAGCTTTATACACCATATATCTGAAATTGTTCCAAAGTAAATCAACATTTCAAAAAAAGTAAAAGCAAATAAATGTAAAATAGCAATGTCAAAATAAAAATACCCCTAAAATTTTCATGCTAATCTTATCTTATCTTATCATTTTTAATCACCAAAAAGGAAATATTGGGGCGGTTTGTGGTCAATTTAATCACCATAGGATATAAAAATTGATGTGAATTAAAACTAATATGAGCACGTTTACAATATACATATTTACATAATATATGTAAGTGACATATTAAGAAACATTTATACATCTTTCATTTTAATGCACACTAATTGATACTCCACAACCAACCCACCCTTTTCTCCTAACCTTTTTTTATACAAAAAAACAATAAAAAAATAAAATAAAGCAACACCAACTTGTTACTATTTTTTTGTAATTAATTAATGCCTCCAAATGAATCAGAGTCCTTGAAATTCTCAACTTGTAAATTCAGCTAAATCACATGGTCGCTTGGTCAGCTCCTTTGGCATATTCTCTTCTTTATTTTTTAATCACAAAAAATACTATTGAATTTCATGGCAATGGTCAACCCCTAATTAACTTTATAACATCCACGATCAATATGAGTTGTGATAAGATGACTGAAATTTCTTCATCATTGATCAGAGATTTTCGATTAGAGTCTTAAGAGTTGTGAAAAATCTGTTGGAAGTGCCGCCTTTACAAAATAGATATTACAATATGCGAGAATTTAATTTAGTCAAATTTTAATGTGAATATCAGAACTCGAATTAATAAAAACATCACAAACCAAACATTTTTGTATATATACTTATGTATATTTCAAACATATATAAAAATAATGGGGTCAGTCCAAAACTTGAGACAAATTGAATCTTCATTGGCCTCCTTTTGTAATCTGTGTGCATGTGCCTATTACTATTTGTCTAATTTTAGTGGTGGGGTGGGGTATGGTGGTGGGGGGTGGGGGTGGGGGAGGGGGAGCTATTAATTATGACCAATAGGAAAGTTCAATGTATGTTCTGTCCTTTTAGGTAAGGTCCCTTTTGTCCTCTAGGGGATTATTGTAAAGAATATTAATTTATTTGTATCGAGTGTTTATATTAAATAATTATATGATATTTATCATTTAATTATGATCAAATGTAGTTGTTTATGTACCATGGTTAGTATTAAGTTCCACATTAATTGGGAAAATGAGTTGTGGTCCTTTTATACAGATATTTTGGATCCTTCTTTTATGAGTTATCTTCTAAAATTGAGTTAGGTAAAAGGTTACAGAGTCGAATCTAATATTGATCCTTATTTCTTGTTGTTGTGTTTTTCAATGTTGAATTTTCGTAATTCGCGCTTGAGTTGCATCTTGCATGTGTGATGACTGAAATGTTATGTTTCATATTGATTGAGAAAATGAGTTGTGGTCTTCTTATATGATTTTGAGAATCAATTTCTCAAAAATAAAAATAACAGCCACTGAACACTAAAATCACTCTTGTACGTCTTTAAAATATAGTCATTGTTATGACTTACGAAAATTCAAATTTCATAGACACGTAACTTCATGTAAATATCTTAGAGTTTCATCGATGAATTTGAAACTCCAATTACAAAGACTGAAAAGATCTGTTTCATGAATATTACCCATCCTCGTGAACTAGCTATCAGGATTGCATTAGGTGAAAGCGGTATAGTTATAATTAAATAATAATAATAATAATAATTTATATTATATAATTGATATAAATATCGAATACGAGTGAATGTTTTTTTTTTAAATCTCGTGGCAAATATACAATCGAAAGAACTCACTAGTAGCTTGTAGCCGTCCAACCTCTGTTTTCATAGCCTTTTGTAGGGCCAAGAAATTATTGCAACACTCAGAACAAAATATTCAAATTAATTTTAATTGATCCTATAGAGCTAATACACGAACAAACAAACACAAGGGGTTTTAGTACTCCGTCCGGCCATTTCAATTTGTTTGTTTTATTTTGTAATTCTTTAATTTTAACTTTTTACAAGATTTAGATCACGTGATTAACGAACATTTTAATATGTTCTACATATCTTTAGCTTAAAACTATACGATTTAGAAGTCTTCTTTACTTTCATATATTTTGTATAAAATTTAAATCAGATATATAAATTAAAACCAAAAAAATATTTGAGGGTGGGGAGGGAGGGCGGGGGGAGGGGGGGTTGATAATGTGTAGATTTGGTCAGCAGAGTGGGTTGGATATGGGGATTAGAGAAAATAGTGAAAGATGATTTGTTGTCCCACTTGCTCTGAGCTTTGATCAAACTGCATGTGATATGTCTTTGCAAAAACAATTTATATTTACCTATAACATTTTCTATTCACTAC